TTGAAATTAATCTTGAAATGAACTCATCATAGATAAATTAATGAGTAACAATGGAATATTCAGCTGGATCTTTAAGAAGAAACAATTATAAACCAGATTTATATTTCCTATATGCATGTTTGTATACTGTACTGTCTTTCTAGTTTGAAGTCTTTATATCACAGAAATCCCATATAGCCGTTGACCTTTATTCATCTGAGAGATGGTTTTAATTATGTGTGGGTTGTGTTTCTTTTTCTGTCTCTTGACGTGCGTGGGATTTTAATAACATTTCTGTCATCTAGTATATGAATATAAGAAGACTCTGTTTAAGTTTAATGTGAAAGAGATGTTAAACCTGATTAAAATACACTACATAATGGAACTGTTTGTGATCATGTATATTTGAAGGAGTCAATTATTCTTACTTAAGGTTTTAGAAAGTATGAATCAGAGGCAGGTTTCAAAACCCGTTGCTACTGGTTTGCTTGTGGGCACGCTCACGCATGATACTTCTACGCATGCACTGAAGAGTCTGGGCAGATGGACAGAGCCTCCCACCTCCGCCGCTACAGGTTCGCCCAAACCGGGGCGAACCGGTAGCAACCCACCACTGGTATGAATGGTAGCTAATTGTTCAATATACTCTTAATATACAGATAAGAATTATCTATATGTCACCAGTCATATCACGGAGAGATATGTGGCATATATCTAACAGCCAAGAAATGCCGGACAGTATCTACATTTCTAAAGATTTGTCAATAAGGAACAGAAATATCAAGAAAAATAGGGCTTATGTGATGAAACACTATTCACATAAATGCAGTAATCATATGAAACAACACTATTGAATGTGAGGACATTAGTAAGAATGCAATGCCTTAAGATTATAAGGGAATGCTAGTTAGGGCAGACTTTTAGGGCAGTAAAAAAATCATGGAGTCTACAATCACCACAAGAGATAAACAACTCTGTGAAACATCAATTATGGGACAGGGCGTCCTGGATCTCTGAAGTTTGGGGCAAAGTCCTGGAAAGTCCCTGGAAAGTCCTGAAACACTGCAGAAGAAAATTAGCCCAACAGCAAGGATGTGTTCTGACCTAGGCTTCCTGAGTCAGTAAAACACATGAGTAGTCCCAAAAACCTGTTTTATTTTAACAGCTGTGAATTCTGTTCATTCACAGATGAGTCCCAAATAGTTGTAAAGAGTCCTTCAGGATAAGGCTGATAATTACCCACCTTTATCTCCCTTGATACACTGCCAAAGACCTAATTGACAAAGCCACATGGAGTCCAGAATCAAACAGAGCTTCAGATTTTAAACTGCACAGAATTAACAGCGTTGCTTCCTGCAAAGAGGTGCCTTTGCTCCTCTTTTAAGTCTTATGGGAGGGGCCAATCATCTCCAAGCCCTACTCCCAAGTCATCCCTTTTGTTTTAACGGTTCTTGCCTTCTGGCAGCTCTGCACATGCGCGCACTGGGAACAGGCTCCCCCTGTTCCTTTGCCTCGCTGAGGTCTGACTCTGGAGGCTCCGGAGGCAGCACATACCTCCCAGATGGCCCTTTTGCTGCCTCCGACGCAGAGCCCTTGTCCGAGCCTTCCCCAGACTCCAGGACTGGCCCATGTTCCTCCCCAGCCTCCTCAATGTCCGACTCTGCTGCCAGCTCCGCAGGCTGCTGGCGGACCACAACAGGTTGTCTGTATATAGGCTTTATTTAGTTTATAGCAAAAGGGAGCATCAAATAGTACAATAGCATCACACAACCTAATTCTAGTATATGTTATTATGTAAGATTGTGTACCCAATTTTTTTTATTGCAAAAGTTTTACAATTACATTTTCACCCCTTTTTACCCCCCCACCACCACCCACCCCAAACTTCCCAACCTCCCTAACCCTCCCTAACCCTCCCCTCCCCCCAGACTTCCCTATATTATACTCATATCTGGTAAAAAAAGTAAAAAAAAAAACCCTTAATATAAAACTTGTGTAAAAACTTGAACCCCTCCCTCCCCTTTATAATTTTTCTTTTTACCCTCATTACATTAAAATATTTCTAATACATTATTTTCAAATAAAAGCTATTTGATACTTTCTAGTTTGATATTTGTTCTGAACATATTCTATCCACCTTTTCCATTCCCATTCATAAGTCTCTTGTGAACAATCTTTTAAGTATGCTGAGATCTTCGCCATCTCTGCAAAACTGGCCATCTTCAAAGTCCATTCCTCAATAGTGGGCAAAGCTTCATTTTTCCAATATTTACCTATCAACAATCTTGCTGCTGTTATCATATACAATATCAGTTTTGTTTCACCCAATGTAAAACCCTTAACTATACCCAATAAGAACAATTGTGGAGAGAATTGAATTTTTTTCTTCAAAACATTCTGCATGACCCACCAAATTTTTATCCAAAAAGCCTTAACTTTCCTACAGGTCCACCAAACATGATAATACATAGCATCCAAACATTCACATCTCCAACATTTTGGCTGAACATTAGGGTACATACATGACAACTTTTTGGGATCTAAATGCCATCTATAAAACATTTTATAGAAATTTTCCCTCAAGTTCTGCGACTGTGTAAATTTAACATTCTGAATCCAAATTTTTTCCCATGTTTCCAACATCACTGGTTCTTCAAAATTTTGTGCCCACTTAATCATACAATCTTTAACTAATTCAATTTCTGAATCCCTTTCTAACAAAACATTATAAAGCCTTTTGATATGCATTGGACCTTTCTCTTTTATATGTCTAACCAATTCTTCCTCGTGCAACATAATACCAGTTTTTGGGTCCTCTTTCCATCTCAATTGTAATTGATTATATTGTAACCAAGTTAAATTAATCCCTTCGTCCAACAGTGTCTGCAATGTCTTCAGCTGCCATCTGCCCGCATCTGTAAAAAGAACCTCTTTGTATAAAAACCCCCCGAGTGACATTATATTTGTATTCCATAAAATATGACCAAGATCCAGCCATAGCGGTATTTTATAATCCCATTTGAATCGGTGCTTTTTCCAAACTCTCATCAAAGAGTCTCTAAGTATATGGCTTTTAAATACTTTATCAACTTTATCATCATAAAATAAGTAGGCATGCCATCCAAATTCAAGATCAAAACTTTCTGCATTCAATATTCCAGCCTTTTTCCTTCCAAACCAATCACTTGTTAAAGTTAAAGCTGCTGCATCATAATATAGCTGTAGGTTTGGAAGTTTAAGACCTCCTCTTTCTGGAACATCTTGCATAATTTTCAATTTCACTCTCGGCTTTTTCTCGTTCCAGACGAACTTATTCACTCCAGTTTGCCAAACTTTCAATTGTTTATCACTTTTAAGCACCGGAATCATTTGAAACAAAAAAAGAAATCTTGGCAAAATGTTCATCTTAACTGCTGCTATTCTTCCAAGTAGAGACAGCTGCAGTTTTTTCCAAGTCTCCATGTCTTTCTGCACCTCTCGCCACAACACCTCATAATTATTTTGGAACAATTTCATGTTTGATTCTGCAACCTGAACTCCTAGATATTTTACCTTTGGTACAATCTCAAAACCTGCCCTCCTTTCAAGCTCATGTTTACGATCTTGTGTCATGTTTTTAGCTATCATTTTAGTCTTTTTTGGATTTTAGTCTAAAACCTGAAACTTTACCATAGTCTTGTATAATGTCCTTCATCAGGATTATTGATTCCATTTTTATCATGTTGAATTAATAAACTTTTTTTTTTTTTTTGGAGAACAACAAAGTGCTTGTCTTCTGTACATATATACTTTTAGACCTTGGTTAAAGTAAAAATATTACACTGTTCATTCACTTGCCAAATATGAATCACTGCATTGATCAACTCATCAATATACACAGTAGTGGCAAAAATTGTGGAAAACCTTTGGGTAATGTATATTTTTGAAGTTTGATAGCTAATCAAACTTTTTCTTTTTCTTTTTTTTCTTTTTTCTTTTCTTTTTTTTTTTTTTTTTTGAGTTTCAAGATAATCATATTCCACTGCTGGAAGGGCCTGGGAATAGCCAGACCTTAACCCAATTGAAAATCTATGGAGCTGACTTAAGAAATTTGTTAGTCAGAAGTGACCCAGCAATAAAACTTAGTTAATAGAAGCAAGCAAGCAATCAATCTTGGTTTCACATTATAATAGCTACAGAACTAAAAGACTTGGTTCACTCCATGGGAAGACATTGTAAAGCCATAATTCATGCTAAAGGTTACCCAATTAAGTACTGACGTGATTTTTGTATATCTCATTTTTTCTATGGTAATAATTTTTGTATATCTTGTTTTTTCTACGTGTTTCACTTTTCTTCTTTATACTGTAACTGCTATTCTAATAGCAAATCCTTCATAAAAGTTATTGCATTACATTCTTGATTAAATTATCTTTCCATTGATATATAATTTTATGATACTACTCCAAAAAAAGTGGTGTTATTAGCTAGTTTTAGAAAATACACTTTTACCAAAAGGTTTCCACAATTTTGGACACTACTCTCTTTTACCCTAGGAAAAGCTTAGTTATAACAATAATGCATCCCTGCTTCCTCATCGCATATCACATACATTAAAAATGCAACATTATACTTTGCAACCTGCATTTATTTTATTTGCTTGTGTTTTTTTTTTTTAATTGTGCAGTATATAGCACTTGTCAACCACAGTCCCAGGGCTGCATATGCAAAATTTATAAAAGAACTAGCATGCTTTATACTTGTAATTTGAAATAAATCCAAAAAAAATTGATTCAATAATTGCTGGAAGAGTATTCAAAACTGAATTCCTTTCTTTATTGGGTCCAAGACATTTCTTCAGTCTTTATGCATCTCTCTTGTGATTATCATCTGATTCTGCTCTTTCCTGTTTCTTTTTAGGGTCTTCATTGGATTGGAGTCTCAGGCTTTTTAAAGGAAAATCTGGAGAAATATCTGTCAGCAGATATAAAGAGTCATTTCCAAATGATTATGGATGAATTGTTGTTTCTTTTTTGTCACAGGATGAATATAAACCTGATAAAGATCTTTCTGAAGTAGATCTAAAGAATGCTATTCGCATTCATCATGCCTTAGCCACAAAAGCCTCGGATTATAGCAAAAAATCCAATGTGCTGAAACTGAAGACAGCAGACTGGAGAGTGTTTCTCTTCCAAGCTCCGTAAGTACCACAGGAAAGATTAGGCAGGATTATTAGAACTTGGGGTGACTTATTTGAGATGTTGTTTTTACACCTTCCAAAGGCTCTGGGGATCTGATGACATCGCCAGAGAAACTGGGGAACTAAAAGGGAAAATAGGGCATATTCAGCCTGGCAGAAGCTTAACTCATCTGTTTCAGTTCTTAGGTTAATGAAAAACTGAACAACCATGACAACCATTAATTTGTTTGTAAATTTGAGTGACATGATCTTGGAGGCATCTGGGACCTCAAAAATGGGGACTGAGATCCATGGACTGTGTCTCCTCGGTTATAAGCTCTCTTTTAATATAGCAGTCTCACGATCACATTAAGGTTCTTATTACAATTGGCATTATCATCAGTTCTTACTGTTCAAGAAATGAAAAATATCATATTACTATCAAGCTCTGGGGAAATCAGGAGATTCAGGCAGTTCAATGAGTATAAAGATTTATTGCAAGCTTAAACTCTCTGCAAGAATCTGACCAACTAGCAGTCAAGGGAAATGAGCGGGAGATAAGAAAGACATTCAAGGTGGATTGGATTTAGATCTCTTGTGGCGTGCCGGGACTCATGACATATGACACGTTTGACCTCTCCCTTGGGCTCAGCCAAGTCGTCTCCTACAATTACTATGTAATTAGCATTAGAAGCCATTATCTGAAGACAAGGACAGTTCATAGTACCATAGAAGCAATTCAGGACTACTCTATAAATACTGTATAAAATAAAAATGTTTATATATAGACAAAGACTAATTGTTACATATAATGAAGAGGCAGATCTAATTTATAAATTTCCTGGATTGTAAACATTGGGAATCCAGTGTAAAATAATCTGTGTAAAATAAAAAAAAGAATATAAATCTCAATGTAATTGTCAGGTTCCATAAATTGTCTAGACAAATATATTTATAATTATATCTATAAAGCACAAAGCAAGTATAGCTTTCCCCTTCCATGTAATGAAGAAGTGGAACTAATCTAGGTCAGTGGTTTTCAACCTTTTCTTCATCACGGATCCCCTTTTGTGGCCACGGACCTCCAAATCAAGATTTAAATCATAACATTTCTTCAAGCCTTCGCAGACCCCCTGTGATGACATCGTGACCCTGCCCAGGGGTCTGTGGACCACAGGTTGAGAACCACTGACATAGGTAGTATTTTTTTCTGCAAGTCTAAGCCTGTGGCTGAAATACTAAACACTGTTGTTTGCCTCCAGGAAATAAGGAGCTCTCACTTGATATGTTTATATCTGTTTGCTTATTCTGATTCCATTAAAATCATTTTTTCTTATTGTTTCAGTGCCATCCTCTGTAATCTACCCTACCCAGGTCCCCACTTATATCTGAGTCCTTTGTTGTTCCTTTCCTGTATTTCCTTGCATTGCAATTGTTGATTTGTGTTGATGTTATTCTGTGAACTGTGTGGGGAATCATCTAAGAGGTTAACTTTAATGAAGCCTCATCAAAAGGAGCTAACATTTTCAACATGGCAAAAATTGGTTCCCATACATATCAGGAAGAAAAACCTGAAGTGGCACAAAAAGGAGCATGGCATATGACCGTTTGTATAATCTGTAACAAGAGACAGCAGCAGATGCCAGCAGATGGTCAACCTTGTCAAGATCTGGGAACTTCATTAGGAGGCCATCAAAGTAGACTAGGGTTGTAATCTTGATAAGCAAATTGGAAAACAACATTGCAGAAGGTGGCCATGGCACTCCATTACTGCTCCATTGCCAAGAAACCTGCATATAGTCAGCCTTTAGAGCTCAACTTGAGGGAGCCTCTATCTTTTAAGAAGAATGCAAAATAGAAGGATTAATTAGTGATGTGAAAGAGAAAGGCATTCCACCTGATATGATAGGTCAGTTCAGTACCAATCATCAGTTCTCCTTTTCATACTAGTGGCACAGTAAATGTCTTTCTCCCTGGGTGTCTATGTTTCTGACCATTTGACTTTCAATGTTGCCTGCTTTCCATAGAAGTAAAGGAGAAATGCTGTCATGGATCCTGAGAATAAACTTGGTAGCTGCCATTTTTTCTGCCCCTGCATTTCCAGCTGCTATTTGCTCCATGAAGAAGTTCTGCCGGCCTCTTTTGCCATCTTCATCAACTAAACTCTGTCAGGTAAAACTGAAATGTGTGTACATAGGGTGGCCTGGAATTCAGGCAAGCACTGAATGAAACATGCATTTCTTTGCAAGAGCAGGATTTGCATCACAAATCATAGACCACCCGGACCACCCCAATGATGCCCTTGACGTGATGTCCCGGTGCCTGGAGTCTGTGCGGATCTGGATGGGGAGGAACAGGCTTAGACTCAACCCTTCCAAGACCGAGTGGCTGTGGTTCCCGGCGTCCCGGTATAGTCAGCTGGTTCCATTGTTGACTATTGGGGGCGAGATCTTGGCCCTCTCAGAGAGGGCTCGCAACTTGGGTGTTCTCCTGGATGCACGGCTGTCTTTCAAAGATCATATGACGGCCATGGCCAGGGGAGCTTTTTATCAGGTTTGCATGATACGCCAGTTGCGTCCCTTTCTGGACCGGGATGCCCTGCGCACGGTCACTCATGCCCTCATCATGTTCCATCTGGACTACTGTAATGCTGTCTACATGGGGCTCCCCTTGAAGAGCGCTCAGAGGCTCCAACTGGTCCAGAATGCGGCCGCGCGGGTGATTATGGGAGCGACTTGGCGCACCCACGTAACACGTCTCCTGTGAGAGCTGTACTGGCTCCAGGTGGTCTTCCGGGTGCGATTCAAGGTGTTGGTCACCACCTTTAAAGCGCTCCATGGCTTAGGACTGGGGTATATAGGAGACTGCCTTCTGCCACAGACAGCCTCCCACCAGCCAATACGCTCCCACAGAGAGGGGCTCCTCAGGGTGCCGTCGGCCGAACAATGCTGACTGGTGACAACCAGGGAGAGAGCCTTCTCTGTGGGGGCACCAGCCCTCTGGAATGAACTGCCCCTAGAGGTTCGTATGATCCCCAACCTGCGTACCTTTCGCCGCGCGCTGAAGACCCATTTGTTCCAACAAGCTGGGCTGGCCTAATATGAATTTTATAATGGGTGTATATTAGTTTTTAATCTGTGGGCCAAATTTTATATATTTGATTTTACATTGTTTTTAAATGTTGTAAATCTATATGTGTTTTAATATGGCTGTACACCGCCCTGAGTCCTTCGGGAGAAGGGTGGTATAGAAGTCCAAATAAAATAAAAATAAAAAAATAAAAAATAGAAGGCCCCAAACTCAGATTAAAGAAGGCAAGTCACTTCTGCTCCCTCTTCACCCACCTTGGCCGGTCTGTTTTGTGATGAAGGCAGGAGGCAGGTAGCTGAAATACTGCCTAAGAGTAGTTCCTTTCCATATCTATGCTATGCATATTATATAATTTGAAAGCAGCAAGAAGAAGAATACATTTTGCAATATCATTTTTGAAATCAATCAGGCACACACATTTGTTAAAATAAAATAGTTTTGATGATATGGTATTTGTTATAGAAGACCCATTGGAATCTGGACCAATACTACTGCAAGAAATAGAGAAATATGGGGGGGGGGTCACAGGCCTTAAAATTAACAAAGAAAAAACTAAAATGTTAGTTAAGAATTTAACGGAAAAACAAAAAGAAGAACTCGAGGAAAGAATGGGACTTCAAACCGTTAAAAATGTGAAATATTTAGGTATTTGGTTAAGAGCAAGATGTTCAGCATTAAGAAAGGATAATTATACAAAATTAATACAACAAATAAGAAAAGACTTAGAAAGATGGGGAAAATTACAGTTGTCACTATTAGGGAAAATTGCAACAATTAAAATGAATATTTTGCCAAAACTACTCTATTTATTCCAAACGATTCCGATAAAATTAGATAAGAATTTCTTTAAAGAGTTAAACAAAACGATTATGAAGTTCATATGGGCAGGAAAAAAGGCGAGGATAAAATTAATCTCACTTCAAGATAGAAGAAGCAGAGGTGGCTTTGGACTCCCTGCATGGGAAACTTATTACAAAGCAGCAAGTTTGGTTTGGGTTAGGGAATGGATTAATTTAAAGAAAAGGAGAATTTTAACACTGGAAGGGCATGATCTCCAGATGGGGTGGCATGCCTTCATATGGAACACCAGAAATAAGAAACATTCCCATTTGTACTTCTATAGACATACACTTCGAGATTCACTGATACAGACTTGGGAGGGAATTAGGAAGAAACATTATCTCAAAACCAGGCTGGTTATCCACTATGGAGGCAATGATCTACTCCAACACATTAGATATTGGTAAAATGGTAAAATACAATGAAATTTTGGACAATGAAGGAAGATTAAAATCTAACCAAGAATTAAAGGAACAAGGAATAATCATAGATTGGTGGCTGTATCTTCAATTGCAATCTAGATACAGAAAAGATTTAGAGGAATTTGGATTTGAACTGAAATTTACACAATTAGATAAATTATTAACAGGCCCGGAAGAGAAATTATTATCTAAAATATATAATTATTTATTAAATTTTGACTTAGAAGAAGAAATTGTAAAGGGATTAATGATAGTATGGGCAAAGAATTTGGGCACAACATTGAGTTAGAAGAATGGGGAAAAAAATGAGGAAAAAACTATACATTAACAAAATCTGCTGCTTATAAAGAGAACCAGTATAAAATGTTCTATAGGTGGCATTTAGCCCCAACAAGACTCGCAAAAATGTACCCCAACCTAAAACCTAATTGCTGGAAATGCAAGTACAAGGTACCTACTTCCATGTATGGAGGCTTTGTCCAGAAGTTAAAAAATTCTGGATTAAAATACAAAAATGGCTAAAAGAAATTACACACTGTGTTAAGTATTGAATGACAATTCAAACGGACCAATTAGAAGCGAGCTAATAGAACGGGAGATTTAGAAGCACGTCAGTGGCTGAAGCCGCGGACAGCTCCCTTTAAAAGAGGCTGCCACGGCTAGGCAACCAATTGCTGTACCGGAGCTGAATAAACTCATGTAACTGGTGTGTGTGTCCTGTGTCCTTGCTGTGCCCACTATTCAACACTGGCGACCAAGGTGGGATCTCAGAAGGACAACTGGACACCAGGTTACTGAACCTCCACATGGCAATCAGCGGCCATTGAAATCAATGGCCAAGCAAGATGTCTTCGATCATTCCACCCGCACCATTCAACCCAGCTGGAAAAGACTGGGAATTGTACATAGAAAGATTCCACATGTTTCTGGAAGCAAACAATTTGCTAAGCCTATCGGAACAAAGAAAGAGGGCACTCTTCCTCACACACTGCGGAGCCACCGTTTTCAAAATGGCAAAAGCTTTCGCCTCACCGGCAGAATTGACAACAATTACCTGGGCAACACTACAAGGCATCCTGAAAGCACACTACACACCCCAAGCCTCATCCCTGGTAAGATGGCATGAGTTCTACCAGAGGGACAAGAGGGAAGGAGAATTGATAAGCGAATTTGTAGCAACACTGCGCGAAATAGCCACCACTTGCGAGTTCTCAAATCTGGACGAGGCCATGAGGGATCGTTTGGTGTTGGGGCTGAGGGACCTCACAAAGCTGATTACTTGCAAAGCCCAGAATAACGTTTCAAGAGGTTATGGAAGAGGCAACGGCGACTGAGGCATCCCAGAAATCTGCAGCCGCAATGAAGAAAATGAATAAGGGGCCACAAGGAAAGAAAGAATCTTCAATCCACTACGAGGATGTGGAAACCGAATCAGAAGAAGAAGAGGGGGACGAAGTACATCACCTCTGTTCGGAACAGAAGGGGAGATCCCAGGACAAAGGAAAGAAAGAATTCTGGTGTGCAGGATGCGAAGGAAACCACCCAAGGATGGAGTGCAGGCTCCGAGATGCGATCTGTCAGCGGTGTGACCGGAAGGGACACATCGCAAGAGTCTGCAGGGAATCCCAACCAGTGTTCCGCAGAAACAGACAAACGAGCCCACCACCACCACCTAGAACCAGACAATTCCAAACGAACAAGAAACAACAGTTTGGAAGAAGCTGTAGAAACGAGGACCATGGGTCGGAAAGGGGTGAAACCCATCAAACAATAATCGTGGGCCATGCGAGCGCGGGAAGAGCAAAGAAGATGGTGGCGACCATGTACATCGAGGGGAGACCATGCAAAATGGAGGTCGACTCAGGGTCATGCCTGTCCATGGTTTCCTGGATGACCATCAAGCAGATAATCCCCAGCCTCACAACCAGTGCACTCAAGCAGCAAAGACTCACCCTGAAAGACTATCAGGGGAACCGGATCCCAGTGTTAGGCATCGGAAAGTTCAATGTAAAGTTCAAGGACTTCCAGGGGAAACTGCCCCTCACCATAGTGGACCAGGACAGACCTAGCCTATTGGGTCTGGAGTGGTTCAAACCTTTGGGACTGGCAGTGACTGGAATCAATCAAATCAAAGATGACGGCTGGGAAGAGGAACTGATGAGAGACTTCGCAGACGTTTTCGACGGCAAATTGGGCAAGTACATGGGGTCCCCAATATCATTTAACCTAGATCCCCAAGTTGCCCCTGTCAGAATTAAACCTAGGAGGGTTCCTTTTGCTCTACGGCCCAAAATAGATGAGCAATTGGATAAACTCGTTGCCCAAGGGGTATTGGAGCCAACAGACCATGCTAAGTGGGAGACACCGATAGTAACCCCCACGAAGCCAGATGGGTCAGTGTGCCTGTGTGGGGACTACAAAAGTACCCTGGACAAAGCATTACAACAGAGCGCGTACCCAGTACCCATCATACAACACCTATTACATTCATTGGGTCAAGGGAGGACCTGCCAAGGGAACACATTTCTAATTATCATAGATGCCTATTCTAAATGGTTAGAGGTGAATGTAATGCCATCTACAACAACAGAAGCAGTCATCCGGGTCCTCCATAGACTGTTGGCAACACATGGGTTGCCTGATTTGGTAGTGTCAGATAACGGGCCCCAGTTCACAGCTAACTAATTCGAAATGTTCTTAGCCAGTCAAGGGATCCGACATGCACTATCCACGCCGGGAAAACCGTCCACTAATGGATTGGCGGAAAGGATGGTGAGAACGACAAAGGAGACCTTAATACGGCTGGGCCCAGGGGATATACAGGCAAAAATAGATAAACTGCTAAGTATACAGCACATAACACCAAGCACACAGAAGTCCCGTGGAACTATTAATGGGAAGGAAACTAAGGCCTAGTCTAGACAGACTACACCCCCATTACAGCGCAGAGAAGCCAGTAGATTCCACCAGCAAGATTAGATAATTCCAAGTAGGAGATAAAGTGTATGCAAAAAATTTTAGCGGAAACCCCTTATGGGTCCCAGCAGAAATAACTCAAGTCACAGGCCCTCTATCCTACAGGATAGAAACAGAGGACATCTGGAGCTGGAAAAGACACATAGATCAGCTCAGAGGCCGATTAGTAAGAAGAGAACACGAATCACAAGAGGAAAACCAGGGGCGAGAAAAGAAACTTCACATAGGAACCACAGAAACAGACCAGGCCCTACATAAAACATCACCAAATGAACAACAGGGACAACGCTTAAACCCGACTAGAGACAGCAGACACTTATCTGGAGTCCAGGAGAGAGTTCTCGATAGCAGCGACAGTCCACCGTTCCAGCTGGGGGAGGAAGAAATAAACATCCAACAAAATAGGCCCATGCCATCGGCGGAGGTTGAGAGAGTTCCGGAGGCGCCTCCAGGAGAGACACAGAACTCAACCTCTTGCTCCAAGATCGCTGGAACAACTGAACTGCACAGGTCAAGTCGCGCCCCGAAAAGACCCGCCTAGTTGCGCGACTACGTGGCTTGAGAGACTCCAGGATTGATCAATGCTGATCTAGAGGGCAGGGGTGTTAAGTATTGAATGACAATTCAAACGGAGCAATTAGAAGCGAGCTAATAGAGTGGGAGATTTAGAAGCACGTCAGTGGCTGAAGCCACGGACAGCTCCCTTTAAAAGAGGCTGCTGTGGCTAGACAACCAATTGCTGTACCGGAGCTGAATAAACTCATGTAACTGGTGTGTGTGTCCTGTGTCCTTGCTGCGCCCACTATTCAACAAACTGTAAGATACAATTTAACCCTGAACTGTTTCTTCTGGGAATTATTAAAGGAAATTACCCTAAAAGGATAAAATATTTAATCATTCATATAACTACAGCAGCTAGAATTGTACTTGCACAAGCCTGGAAAATGTCCGCTATACCAACAGACTGTGCAATAATTGAAAAAAATTTCAAATGTGCAGAAATGGACAAACTTACTTTACAATTAAATAATAAGGAAGACTCGTAATACTACTTAACTTGGGAAAATTGGTATCAATGGATAGAAATTAAAAATAAGGAATGTATAGAATAAAATAAGATATAAAATGTGTTTAAATGTGTTGATTAAGTAGGAATATGTGGGAAAGTTGAGAATTACATACTGTCAGAAAGACTTTGAATTGTATAATTATTACGGATGTATTTTTGTTATAGATGTATTTTAACTTGTATTTTTGGATTTTAAATGTTAATAAAGGTTTTAAAAAAATAGTTTTATTCTATAGAAGGGATGAGTTAACATTTTCTTCTCTATCAGGAAGAACAGCTACTGTCCCATGAGAATAAAATGAGGCAAATTACAGATGAATTAACTGAACATAAATTGCATCCTGTAGTGAAATGCCTGAAGTCAAAAGAGGCTGAAGAATATCGTCTGAAGGAACATTACTTAATATTTGAGGTGAGTCTTCTATCTTCTACCATCAAATGATAGCTGTCAGTAGAAGAACTAATTAACGATGAATTTTTGAACATGCACAAAAGCATCTGACAACTGGGCATCATAATCTACTTCTATCCTATGATTAAGCAAAAGGTGTTTCCTAATTGAGAAAGGAAGTTATGTCCTTTCAGGTATTCACTATATTTTCTCTAGAGGAATCAGGAATAATTCTCAATTGTAAAAGACATAAATATACCAGTGATTTGAATGATCCATGCCACCTTATTGTTTTTTATTGCACATCTCCTAAATAATTTTGGCCCAGATAAATATGTTTCATTTTATTTTACTATTGTCCACAGAAAAACCGATATGAGACATATATCAACCTCTTATGTGCAAAGATAAAGGCTGGGACAGATGACCTGGAAAGAATTGAAGCCAAACTCTTCACAATGGAGACCCAGGATATTTCTTTGAGGAAGACTTGTTCCAGTCCTTCTATAACCCAAGGGCAGTTGTCTGTTGAAAGCAGTAAGGCAGAAAAAGACACTCTAGAGCCAAATACTTCATACACAGGGAGTCAATAAGAGAGAGCTGGTTCTCCTTATCTGCAATCCATGAGCACAATAATTTCTCAGATATAGAGTTACGTCAATAGAAAGAATTCGAAGGTGTTTTAGTTTACACTGATTCTATTCTGGTGCTTTTGTTTTTGGAATTAGGCCGCCCATGTTGGTTTTCCTGAATGAATATGCAATAAAAGGACAAATTTCCCATAGAAGGGCTGCATAGGTCTTTGACCCACTGCTTGTCTTTGTGAGTACTTGCATTTTCCAATGAACAACATGTGTGAAACTATGATAACATGAGAACCCAACTGAATTATTTGTTTAAAAAAAAATTACAAGTGAAATGGTGGTTCCACAGCCCTTGCAATAGACTTACAAAGAAAATATTGAAACAGTGGGAAGATTTTTATTCATTGCTGATAAGAGGTTTTGGACTGGACAGGGTATCTGTTGAATCACATTTCCACATGAATTGTAAAAACTATAGTACTATACCTTTCTACTGCCAAACACAGGTGTAGTTGGTTTCAGATATATAAACTTGCAATCTAACATAGGCCAAAACAATAGCAGGAATAAAATTCCTTTAATATACAGGGAACTCTTAGCAAGACTAAGTAATGTTTTGAAAAGGTAATAGTTTTTTTCCCTTTCTATTTCTAACAAAATTCCATTTGACTTTGCTGCAGTAAAAGCTGCTGTAGCTATGCTCTCAGCCTCTGTACATAGCCAATTCACAGCTCTTGTTCCTGTTCCTTCTGCTTCTTCTTCCTGGCCATCCGAGCATCTGCAAGATAACCTATGTGTGTGATGACCGTAGAAAACTGAGTTGCAGTCACAGATAGTTGTACATATTCCATTTTGCTGTAAGCATAAATATACTTGCATAATGGGATGTTGTGCTTCTATTCCTTTCTTGCTGTGATAAAAGTGGTTTTAAGACCTCCAGCACTTTATTTATGGATTAATTCATCATCTTTTTTTCTATACATTTTTCACAGTCAATCAAGTTCCAGTTTTAAAGGATCTTGTAGCTGCTAATTACAGTAATTTACAGTTTATATTTTTGCAGCTTTTTAAAATAAAGATAATAAAGAAATTTCTTTGGATTCTCACAGCTTTGGAGAATTTATAAATGATTGAGTTTCCATATTTCGTACCATCGAGGGATACACCCTCTTTGTCACCAAATTTTTAACCATAATTTTTGTATAGTTTGATAATTTTATTTGAAAGAATGCACTAAGAATTATGTACAAATAAATACTAAAACTGTTAATAAAGAAAATTCATTTAAAGCTCCATTTGGTGTTTTGATGATTTTTAACTATTCAGTAGAATATTTATCCTTATTTAATGATCCTTTGGGGAGATTTACTGAAACAGGGAGTGGTAATATTCACCCAATTATAGATGTAGTAAGTACGAATAGAGGCAGGCTGACAATAAAGGAGTGATGACTTCTGTTGATGATTACTGCTGATACAGAATACAATGTCATTTCTCTTTTTGGCCCCAGGTGACTGAGATTCCCATTTGTAATTAAATTATTCCATTTTGTGCAATTTGCAGAACTGATAAGTATTCCACTTGTTCATCAAAATCATTAGCAAAATGTTGATAAGTACTGGAACTAAGACTGTAGCATCCCACTTTATACCTTATTTCAATTTCATAAGGAATGATTGATTGATGAATGAATGTTTGGGTTTGATTTTTAGACAGCTATATATTTACTTGTCATGCCATTCAAATAGATTTAATTAGCTCCAAATTTAGAATGTCAAAATTATTTCATCAATATTTTTTGTCTTTTAATGACCCCGTAATCCCTTGCATTGAGGTGGAGTCAGGGCAATTGAATATAAACACTGAGTGTTTACTGGCTGGATGCCCTTCCTGTTGCTAATGCAGAATTCACAGCAGATAATTTCACATTGTGCCCAGAGAAATATCTGCCGCTATCTAGGATTGAACTCACAGCCTCCTTATTGTGAGGCAAGAACTTCACCTCTAGGCCACTGCACCACCCATGGATTTTGTTGCCGGCCCCTCCAGCAGCCAAATCAGATGAGGCAGTGTGGGAGTCGAGGCCAGCATCAAGGCAATCTGAGAGCTCCAAGGGGGAAGAGGGAATGGAGCTGTCAAAGATAGAGACAGAGGCGGAGCCTGGGCCATCCATCAGCCCTCACTTAGAGACTTCGTTAGCCTGCTGTGAGAGAGGGAGAGACTTTGCCGGGTCTGCTAGTGCTCCTAATAAAGGGAACATTTAGTTAAATACAGAGAGCTTGTCATGTTTGGGAGCCGGGTCAGAACAGGTTACTTAGTCAAATGCTTTACTCAAATTAACAAGTACATTTCCATAGTAAGTTAGCCAATCAAATATGAAATAATGTTATTCTCCATGATTTGTTCTTGAGAAGAATTTATTTCTGATAAATTACCATAGAGTTTTCATGGAATATAAAGTTCACTCTCCATATATTCTGGTATAGAATCTTTGCAGATATCAATGTCATATTAAGTGGACTACAAATCCTCCCTTGTTTCTTTCTGAGACACGATAATTTCTTTCCTCCAATCTCCTAGTGCCATACAATCTCTTTCTCTCAAATAAAAAAAAATCTTTCAACCATTGATTTATTAATGGGTCATTCCAGTAATATTCTTTATTTTTAAAAGGGGGAATTGAAATATAGTAAACTTAGAAACATACCACACATATTCTAATACTGGCAATTTTAAATTCAAGACATTGCTATCTGCACCAAATTCTGAAATCAAGAAATGCTTTAATTTAATGAATTGCTAATTCACAATTTTAGGCAAACTATTGTTGACGGTTCAAGCTCTTGACTGGCAACAAGCTAACCTAAAATTATATCACAAATTACTTGCCCATAAATGTATCAACTGCTGAGTAAAGGCAGCAATACTAAGAGGCAATCAAAATTACTTATTTGGTTTAAACATATCTGATAAATGTTTATCAAATAATTATGAACAGCACTATGAAGAGCAGAACTGAAACCATCTCCTGGACCAAGTAATTTTTTTCCTAGGAACTTTCAGCCTGAAACCAAATACAGTAGTCCTTGAGTTATGAATGTAATGGACCCTACCCATTATGGTTATAAAGTTATTTTAATCACTTTAAATGCATGAACCCCATCCCTCCACTCCCCAATGAATTTGTTAATCGACTGTGTCAGATGTAAATGCCTTATTCTCCAATGTGTAAATAATGTATATATGGAACATCAGAGGTTAACTTATTCTTTGGACTTTAATGTATTCATAACTTACCACTCCCATTCCTAGCTCCACCCCTTGTATATATAAGGAGCCACCCTCACCATTCTCGTTGCTTCTACCTTGAATATTCAGTGAATATAGAATGCCTATCATAATTAAAAAGAAATATATTTAAAGCTCTAACTCCTATTATCTTTATTGAGTCTGATCCTGAAAATATTGCAACAGACTGCATGGGTTGTTAAGTGCACATAAGGTACCTCAAGGGTGGAGAAGTCTATCAGAGGCCTAGTACAGGGAAAGACCAACAACTTCTGGCCACCCAAGGCCTTCCTGCACCCACTGAGATATACCTTCCCAATCTTAGGATCCCCATAGTTGTTTCGGCTTTCAGCCCCATAGTTGTTTCAGCCTTCTTCTTCTTTCAAAAATTGGCAGAGATCAGAGCTATGTGGCAGAAAAGCAGCTGTCTTCTCAGATAAAGGTGAAGCTATTTTCTTTAAATTTTGTGTTCTTCTGTCCCCTTTGCAAAAAGCTTTTGGCACAGAGAACAGAGGCCTGCAGGGCCAAAAGATCACGTCCCTGAAGGTTTTTGTTCTCTTCACTTGCAAAGGGAACAGAAGCCTTCGGGGGCGTGATCTCACACTCCTGCAGGCCTCCTTCACCTGTGCAAAAAGCCTTTTGTAAAGGGGCAGAAGGGGGTGTAAGAACTAACAAAAACAGCTTCACCAGCATCTGAGAAGGCAGCTGCTTTTTTGCCACATGGCCCTGACTCTGAAGAACTTCGAAAGGTAAATGAGTGATCAATGACAGGATGGGAAGGAGCTGGTGGGCTAGCATAGTGCCTGTTAGGCCCCAGGGAGTGGGGGATAGGTAGTGGGAGTGTTGCAACATCTCTATGGTCAGTTGTAAGGGTGAATGACTGCCGTGGTACTGCAACATTCATAACTACAGTCCTATGTCATAAGTACTTTGGGGGGGGGGAGTTCGTAACTTTGAACTGTTGTTAAGTGAACTATCATAACTCAAGGACTACCTGTAAATTGTATCCTAGGAACATTCAGCCTAGCTCAAATTTTTGTCTTGTCTTTGAGAAATCCTGGGAAGCGATGAAATATGGTACAACTGAAGGTCCTCTGTCTCTTGCTTCAAAAACATGGGAAAGAAAATCCAGCCTAGTCCATCGTACAGCAATATTTGGAAAACTATAAGCACATAATACATGGTCTGTAGGAATTTTAAAAATGAGACAGTAATTTTGGGAAGTCAGAATGGACTTTTTAAGAGGAACAAACTAATCTACAGACTTCTTTGCTCTATCATTTAATGCAATCTCTCTCACACAGAGAGAGAGAGAGAAGAGGGAGGGAGGAAAGGAAGGAGCGGGAAATTTTCATTAGACTGTTGGCAAGTGCCTTTAGTAGCCTAGGATACAATTAATTTGATACTGGAAATTTAAACTCATTAAAAATTTGGTATTCCAAAATCATGTTCCTATTAAATTCAATCTTCAATTCTGCTCATTCATCCTGTTTTTTTAGAATTACCTTATCCAAATAGAATTCTCCTTTCCTTTTGGAGAAGTCTGAACTAAAATAGTCAAACAGTTATATCAAGTTACCTATTACATTTTGCTCTCTTCAGTGAGCATGTGGTATACAACTCTTCTCAGAGAACCCTACTTTTCTTTGTTCTGAGTTTATTAAAATTCCCCTTTAAAGTCCAATAGACTTACGGTGCATTCACAAAGTATTCAGACTCCCTTCACTTTTGTCAATTTTGTTACGCTGCAGCCTGATTTTACAGTTGTTGAAATTCATTTTTTTCTCATTAATCTACACTTAGTACCCCATAATGACAAAGTGAAATAGAATTTTAGAAATGTTTGTAAATTTATTAAAAAGAAAAAAACTGAAATATCACATTGGCATAAGTATTTGGACCTTTCATTCAGTACTTAGTTGAAATACCTTTGGCAGCAATTACAGCCTTGAGTCTTTTTGGGTATGACGCAACAAGCTTTGGACACCTGGATTGGGGGATTTTCTGCCATTCTTCCTTGCAAATCCTCTCAACCTCAGTCAGGTTGGATGGCAACCATCAGTGGACAGCCATTCTCAGGTCCCTCCAGAAATGTTCAATAGGGTTGAGGTCTGGGCTCTGGCTGGGCCACTGTAGGGCATTCACAGAGTTGGAAAGTGAAACTTTGGCCCAAACTGAGGTCCTGAGCATTGTGAAACAAGTTTTCACTGAGGATATCCCTATACTCCATTCAGCTTTCCCTCAATCCTGACCAGTCTCCTAGTCCCTGCTGTTGAAAAATACCCCTACAGCATGATGCTGCCACTACCATACTTCATTGTTAAGATGGTATTGGGCAGGTGATGAGTGGTCCCTGGTTTCCTCCAGACATTACATTTAGAATTGAGGCCAAACAATTCAATCTTGGTTTCCTCAGATCAGAGGACCAGTTGGCATCGCAGCGGGATGGCTATGGGATAGCAGAGCTCCATGGAGCTCTGCGAAAGCCAGCCGATACTTGCTTGCCAGGAGACTCTATGGAGTCAAAGCCACCCTGGAGGGGTGGTGAAGAAAGGAGGGACACTTTGTAGATTGCGAGGAAACAGCAATTTCCTCACTTGATCCAAAGAAACCCTCATGATTGGCAGCAGAGATGATGGCCATTTTGGCAAGACCTAATCTGTGACAACCACGACAATAAGATTTATGAGCTGGAGTGGTTTTTGGACAGAGGATTGAAACTGGGTGAGACAACTTTCAACTTCTATATTAGAGATTTAAACCCAAATAAAAGAATTCTTTTTTAAAAAAGACTCTCCAAAATGCTAAGAAAGTGGCAATTTAATACACGGAGTAAGATTATAGATAATGGAAGACTATGAAGCTTTAAAATATAGAAAGCCCGGACTGGAACTTGTAGTAGTGTGAAAACTGTCTGAATTTGCATATAACACTGTCTGATTACTGGAAGAAATTGTATAAGGAAAAGAGGGTTTTTTTCCTCTCTTTGATCTTTTTGACAATCAACTATTCTATCTTTGCTGTGTAATGCTGAAACTTAGAGTGAGGGTGCCACCTACTGGTGAAAGAAGATATTATACTAGTACACAGTGGGAAAAGACCTTGACAAGTGAGGATTGATTGATAACAGAAGAAAAACAAGGAGGAGAAGACAGGAAATAGTGAAAGGCAAACAACACGTGGAAGGCCTCTTTACTTTGGTTCCATATCTACTGGTGTTTTGGCTGCTTGGCAGTATTTAGTAAGCCTTTTGAAGATTTTGAAGGCAAGATGGACTATAATTAACAAGAAACATCTTTGAAACTGAACTCTTGATTCTGTGGATTAAAGAGATTTGGGGAAATCTGGTGAGCCAATCTGGATTATTAATACTATTTGATAGAACACTCTACAAGGCAAAAGAAGAAAGAAGAAAAATTAAACAAGACTTAAAAATTTGGATAATTTTGAGGGTGCAAATTGGAAAATTTTAAGGACTATAAATTTTGGGGATTTTGAGGAACAGTCTCAGGACTGAGTAAACTTTACTAATACTGGCATTTTTGGTGTTTCTGGGCAATTGGGATATTGGAATCTTGGTGAAATATTGAGTAACTTTCAGCCTATTAAATTATTACAAAATGTTTCAACAGGGGAAAACAAATACAGTTCATAAAGAAATATTATTGATGTTTCAATGTATACAGGAAGATATGGCAAGGAGTCATAGGGAGATGATGGAACTGATGCAGGATACAGAGACTAGAAAACCCCCAGCAAATGACAATAAAAGATGAACAAAAAACTCAGAAAATAGAGGAGAAATCAGAAGGAGCTGAGGATAGAATAGAGGAGATAAATAAAAAAATGATAAAACAGATAAAGATATGGAAGAGATAGTAATAATTCTTAAAATGGAACAAATAGATTACTTTTTAAGAGCTCAAAATATAGAAGAGAATAAAGAGAAACTCTCCCAAAAGTGATGAAAGAATTATGGATGGGTACTCTAGAGATCCAACAGCAAGAGATTGGTGTTGAGGCAGATGAAATACTTAAGATTATATAAGTGTGATGTAAGGAGATACAAGATCCCAAGGGAGAAATATGAAAGATTTACCAATAAGTCAATAAGAGTTGAAATTTTAAAAAGGGCAAGAGATGATGGATAGATATAGAATACTTCTTAATATGGTGGCTATTTTATTAAGAGTTAGAAAAAAGAGGTAGAAAGTAGAAATTGGGAAAATAGTATTATGTATACTGATATATAATAGAATATATTATAACTACAATGTATACACAAATGTTAGAAGTTGAAAGATTATGATTATGTATATTTAAATAGTATTATTAGTAGTAGTAGTATTGTGTATAAAGTACTGTATATCGACCCAAACACTGTTCACTAAGCACTTATGGATGTTAAAGAAAAAAACTATAAATAAAATTATATATATATATGAATATTGGTTTCCTCAGACCAGAGAATCTTGTTCCCCACAGACTGTGAGGTCCTTCAGGTGCTTTTTTGCAAACTCCAAGTGAGCTTTCATGTGTTTTGCACTGAGGAGAGGCTTCCATCTAGCCACTCTGCCATTAAGCCCAGATCGGTGGAGGGCTGCAGTGATTGCTGTCCTTCTGGAACTCTGACCATCTCCACACAGGATCTCTAGAGCTCAATCAGAATGACCAGCAGGTTCTTGGTCACTTGTCTTACTAAGGTCCTTCTCCCCCAATTGCTCAGTTTACCAGGTAACCAGCTCTTGAAAGAGTCCTAGGTGTGCCAAACTTCTTCTATTTGAGAATTATGGAGGCCACTGTGCTCTTAGGAACCTTCAGTGCAGCAGAAATGTTATTGTAGCCTTCCCCAGATCTGTGCCTTGCAATAATAAAGGAGGCACCTGAACTAAATTTCATGTTTGCAAAGGGTCTGAATACTTATGGCAATATGATATTTCAGTTTTTTCTTTTTAATAAATTTACAGGCATTTCTAAAATTCTGTTTTTACTTTGCCTTATGGGGTACTGAGTGTAGATCAATGAGAAAAAAATGAATTTCAACAACTGTAGAATCAGGCTGCAGCATAACAAACTTGACAAAAATGAAGGGGATCTGAACAGCTTCTGAATGCACTGTAGGTTGATAGAGTCATGTGCTATTCCTCTTAAAATCAAAAATCCTACAGTCGCTTTCTCTGCAACATTCCTGCTATTTCATTTCCTCAGCTAAATCTTCTCTGTTGGTTGGAGCCAGGATTAGCTCATTCTCTTGGGCCATCCTCCATTTTCACAAGGAGAAAGTTGTCAGCAACCTAAATCATGAAGAACCATGCCTGGAAGAATTTGTCTCTCAACATATATCAGGATAATTAAACTCTCCCTCAATACTACTTCATGTCTCCATGAATGAGCTTTGGGGCTCATTCTTCCAAAGCTCTTATGAATTGTGCTCTTTTGTTCTAGAGAAGCATGCAAAAATGAAATAGCAATTGTCAGAAAACATGATCTTAAAAATCAAGTGCTTAACATGATCTTAAAAATCAAGTGCTGTTGACAAAACATAATATGTTGCTGTTAAACAAAACATTATGATGCTGTTGAAAAAACAATATAATGTAATAACTGATAACGAGCAAATTAAAAATTGTTTCATAACTTTTACTCTAAATTGTATAAAATGCAGGCTTTAGATAAGTAAAAAATAGATGAGTATTTGTTAAGACAACATTTGCCAAAACTTTCACAAACTCAGAGACAATTTATGAATGAACCAATAACTACCTTTGAAATATCAGAAGCTATAAGGAAAATGAAACAGGTGAAGCTCCTGGCCCAGACAGGCTTACAAGTCAATACTATAAATATTTTGAAGACAAGCTCCTTCAGACATTAAGGGATATAATGAATTATATTTTATAGGGGGGAATGATACCCCCAATTTGGAAAGAAGCTAATATTGTGTTGCTACTGAAGGAGGGTCAGGATGTCATGATGATAAAGATTATAGGCCGATTTCACTATTAAATAAGGATTATAAATTATTTGCTGTAGTTTTGGCAGAAAGATTTTAAAAAGCTTTACAGATATATATATATTCATGATGATTAATTTGGATTTCTGCCAAAAAGACAATTAAGGAATAACGTGAGGACTGTTTTGAATATTATAGAATACTTACAGTATAATAATGAACAACAGCAGCTTTAATATTCTTAGATGCAGAAAAGGCCTTTGACAACTTAAATTGGGCCTTTATGTTTAAAGTCCTGAAAGAAATGGATTTTGGTGGGAATTTTATCCAAGGGGTCAAAGCTGTTTATACATCACAGCAAGCAAAAATTGTTATTAATTAAAATTAATTAATTTTAATTAATTAAAATTAAAATTAACTAATGGATGCAAAATCCGAAAGAGTACAAGACAAGAATGTCCTTTGTGTCCTTTGCTGTTTATCCTGGTGTTGGAAGTTTTGAGTAGCGATATCAGGCAAGATGAGAAAATAAGAAAATTGGGTTCAAATGTACACATGGGTATTTGTATGCAGATGTATACAACAATACAAAGATTTTAAAAAGCTAATGTTCAGTTGAAACTAGAACTGCTTTTCCTGGGATTAATGAACAGTTAGAAAAGGGACATATAAGATTATTTTTATGTAAGAATACCACTTCAAGACTATCACATGCACTCCTTAATGGAATAAATCTTTATATTACCTGTATATGTTTATGTATACAGTATAAGGCACATTCTCTTATCGATCAGTGTCTTATTCAATTGATTGCCAATGTAAACAGATAACGGGAAATTTTTTGAGATTCACTGTATTGGATCCAGAAGTTTTCATTCTTTCCAACTAATATATAATGTATCAAGATTTGCAGATTATGTTGGATAATGAAATACTTAATGAACAATAAAGGAATCTCATGAATTTGAATAAAAACACTAACATTTAAATAAACAACCCAATTATATGCATGTTTATTTGGAAGTCAACCCATCCATCAAACAGAGTTTACTCACAAATAAATTTGCATAGGATTGCAACATTTATGAAAGTGCAAATTTATGCTCATGTGGGACAAAGTGTTCTAACATTATATATTTCAAAATTACTTATTCAAAGGTAGGCAACCTGGAGTTTTCCAGGTGTTTTGGACTGAAATTCTCCAAATATTTAACATGCTGGTTGGGAATTCATGGAGTTGTGATCTAAAACATCTGGAAGGCATAGAATTATCTACACTTAAATATTTATTGATGGGTCTGGACTCAGTTGGGTTAATCAGATGATCATTTTAGCTTAAAAAAATCAGGCATCCAAAGTGAGATTCCCAGTAACATGAATAATTTGTGATTACCCTCATTCTATCTCCTCTCTCACCACCAAATGTAAAATTGATTTTATAATCATTGTAGCCATTTCTTATTTTTATTTATAGTGTTAAAAAAATTCAAGTGTTAAACAGTCAAGAGTTCTAACATCCAGACAATCCAGAGCAAAATTTTACAATCTTTTTTATGACAAAGTAGCAGCTTTTCTACTGGACCTTGTTAGGCATTAGGAACAAAGGATTTAAAATACTTTATTGCTAAAAAGTAAATGAATACACTGGCAACTGTATTTTGTCTTTTCAGTTCTAGGTTCTCCATGCATCCAATTTATAGTATTTGAAATGCAAAGGACATGCAAAGTGAAAATAGAGAACGAAAGAGGCAGGCCTTAATGTCAAAAAGAGGCTCCACAGGAAACTGAAAAGAGCCATTTTCTCTGTTTCAGGGAAGTTTTCTTGCCACCTACAACCAGAAAGTTCTTTAGCTCATCAACCAGGATACCTGGTGGCTTTATTTTTAAATGGAAAGTTCTTGTGAAATGCTCAAATGTTACATTTACAACCATCTTTACAAAATGGAGCACACAAAACAGCATTGTCTTTGATGTTTCTTTCCATGGGAAGAAGACTGAGGCAAGGTTAGCATGCTGGTGGCACTATCTCAGGAGAAGGAACAAGAAAGGAGGGATAGAACTTGATGGCATACTTAAGAGACATCTAGATCACTGGAGGCTTTTGAAACCCTTTCTCAACAGCACCTTGTATGTCTTGTATGTTCCATGATGGAGGATCATGTTTTTTTGATGATCAAACTGTGGTCAGAATTTGGAGGACATTTTTGTTCTGTGCATGCACAGCAGTGGCTTGTATCATTACTAAACAGCTAAAGGTTATCTCTAGAAATGGTGTCAAAACAGATTTTAGGAGCAGCATTACTTGAACTAGTATTATTTAATGATTTGCAATGTTTGGTTTTGTGGGTGGTAGTGGTATCTTGATCAGAGACCTCTTGAGGATCAGAAATACATTGGAAGGGCTATAGATACTGTGTAATCCTCTTTCCTTTCTTCTCCACCCATTTTTTTGTTTATTGTTTGCCTTATCAGAGAAACCAATTTTTACTTATCAGTATGTAATATTTTCCCTGCTAGGGAAAAATATTTATAAAAACATTGAAACATACGTCTATGCGCACATGTGCAGGAGGGAAAGGAAATGGGAAAGACCGAGAGCATGTTACTTTAGCAACACTAGATAATTAATCTTTAGGTATCGAGGAATTTAAAAGGGTACTGTTCAAATGGAAAAATGCTGACTGGAATATTTTATAACAAATTATCCTGAACATAAAGCCTGTGTTTCAAGAATGTTTAAACATAATATTCAGTGTGGACTCTGGCATTCACATACAGCAAAAAGGCACCACAATATTTTTTAATGATTTGTAGTCAAAAATTGGCCCATCTTTTAAAATGTTTTTGTTAGTTTATGTTTTTCTGAGAAGCTGTAAATCAAGATGTTACATATAAATAGATTCCTTACAAAAAGGTCTTTGCCATTAGCTCTTATAAGACATCATTGCTAAAATGAAAATAAAACATTTCATTTGTTATATTTTTGCATTTTTTTATATAAAATAAAAATTTGTCTTTTCTGTCATGTCATCTTCCTCAGCACTGATGTATTCATGGAAGTGGACATGAGGAAGAGTGTGTAACACCTAAGGTGGTGCAAAACCTTGGCTGGATCTTGTGTGTGTTTGTTGGCTTTCACCCTGTGCGTTGAATCTGCTGAAAGAAGAGAAAGTTCTGTTGTCAGCTGAGCAGTACAAATCTGTGTCCATTGCCTCCATGTTCCGATTGCTTAAGAAAGGGGTGCTCTCAGCTATCAGCTCCTCATCAGACTCACTGTATGAGGCGCTGCTGACTGAAAAGGAATCTCTAAGCATTCTGCCTCTGTGAGACAGGTGGCCATTCAGTTTAGATCTCCTCCACCGCCTGTTGCCGCTGCCTGTTCTCTTTGGCTGTTCTAGTGCAGTGATGTACTCATGGGTTGTCTCGTATTCATCATCCTCTGTAATGCGGAAGGGACTGGAGGGCAAGCTCCCTGTGCTCTCATTCAGATAGTTCCTTCTTTGGTAGTAAGTATCATACCTCTGTGTATCTTGACAGGGGGCTTGGTACCTTCTTAGCAATGGCTGTTGCTCCTCCACTTGGAAATTAATGGATGCAGCCGGGGGAAGTGAGACAGCATGAGCAGAATTAGGAGAAGTTATTTCAAAGGTGGGCATGTGGGTTGAAGCTGAGCAATGGAAGTCAACAGGGGACAGGCGTGCTGGGGTGGTCAAGGCAGAGACATATCTAGAAAAAGAAACAATGGCATTGGTATCCAGCTTAAATATTAGAACAAAAGTCTGAGTCTTTCATTCCTATAAACTTTTCCATTCCTATAAACACTTTGATCAGGATAAAATAAAAAAAAGGGAATTTTCTCTGAGATTGAAGTAGATTCACCGAATAGAATATGATTTTTTTCATAGAGAAGGGGGAAGTCTACTGATCAGACATGGTTTTTTCACTCTAAAATAAGAGCTGGAAAGAAGCAGAATTACACAGGGTTATGATAGACATTAGGGTTACTTAATAAAATGTCTGACTTATTCATGGAGCCAGCTGGTAATTTAAATTGGGTATCTGGCAATGTTAAAAAATCTGATACACTGAAGTACCTGAAAATCCTCAATATGGTTTCTCTTGGGATGAATTAGCTACAATGCTAAATGTGCCGGAAAAAAAGTCCAGACAAACAGATGGCTCACCTATTACCAGGATACAGTGAATGGTCACCAGCCTTAGGCAAAGTACATATCCAAAGGTTATGTACTTGGGAATGCTTTGTGAGAATAAACGTATACAACATGACAATGATCATGGTTGTATTAATGTTTTCTTTTCTTTTTTTCTTGTTTGTTTTTATGATATTTTGATGCTGATCAGTGATCATAGATAAAAATATCTGTTCTCTCTCCCACTGACCTGGAATATTTATATACTGTGTGTGCTTTTTTTTTTTTTTTACACTTGTATGCAGTTACCTTCTTATCAGTTTTTATTATTCATAATTACTTTTATGCCAGATTTCCTTGTAATATGGAATAGCATTTTTATTTACAGTCACCCAAATAGCAAAAACCAGTAAAATCAAAATGAAAACAGCCAAATCACTAAAGGAAAAGAGAAAGTTAGTTTAACTCTAATGCATACCTGCTATGAAGAACAAAAGCTTACTCACTTATCAGAGTAACCAGGCAGGCTGGGTTAAACATCAATTTAATGAGTAACTAAAAATAGTCACCCAGACCTGAGCCTCTGCCCTCATGATGCTCAAATCCAGTCTTAAAGCTACATTAGAATCACATTTGGGCACTTGCAAAATTGCTCTCAAAATTGTTGATTGTAGTTTCCATGCTGAAACTCAGTTGGAATAAGGGTCATTTGCACAATATATAATAACTGTACCATTATTTCTGCCTCAAATAGTTTTAATATGACAAGGATATAATGTCTTCCTTTGGAGCAAAAAAGGGTTAAAGCAGCCACAGAAGCTATCTGTGCCACTTGGGTTATATAATCTAAATGTACATTTCTCCATCCACGTGAGTCTAATATTATCCATAAATCATTAGGAATAATATATTATGTAAGTTGTTTGTTGAAGTATAAAATACCAAATCATTAAACTAGATTTTAACTACTTACTATTATATTAGGTGACTAGTTCTCAGTATTAATAAATGTACTTCATTGGACTATTTAAGTCTTTTACAAGATTATGTGTATTGATAGTTGATAATTATATGGCATATATGCATTGGCAAGAATATTTGATATTCAGTCAATTATTCTTGCCACTCCATATATGCCATTTTCTCATAAATGGAAATCATTTTATTTTGAATATGTCCAGGTATCAAAGTCAATGCAAGTATCTATTTCAGACCACTCTCCACTGAAGCTTATAGTTTTATTTCATAATATAATTGAATACTGTTTTAAATAGATCACTATAGCACAATCATGTATTTACAAAACAGATGGAACATTTTGTTTTATTTCAAAAGCAATTCAGTTGCATTTTACTGTATGCTTTATATATACTGTATACTGCAGGTATGCCTTTTAGATAAAGAATCAACACTGACTGAAAATTATGTCATGTTCCTTTATGGTCAGTAATACTTCCATAGTTTTCAATGGTTTTGCTATTGTTGTATTGTTTGATTCTTTGTCATCTTAATTGATGCTTTATCAATATTTGTATAATATTAAAAATAATGATTTGAAGTTTTTATTTTTGTTGTTAATGTTGTTAACACTATTACTGCATGTTTGTTTAATAAAACATAACAATGACAAAAAACCCCCAAAGTGATTTGAATTCAAGATAAAGAAACCTGATCCACACTTTCAGGGTTGTTGTTTTTTTCCAGATCATCAAAAACGCCTCCCCCCCCAAGTATTACCATGCTCTTATTATGCTCTTATACCTTACTGGCAGGTAGGGAGGGGTAGGAAAGAGATGGAAGGAGAGATTGAGATTCCAATTAGAGAATCTCTTTTTCCTTTTCACTTCTAATCATTTCAGGGACGCCAATACAAAGAAATGACAAAAAGTATTTTAGTGGTGTCTGTGTCTGGCAGCAGGAAGAATACTTTGGCCAATTCTTTTCTTGCCAGACGCTGGGTTTTGATTATATCTAAAACAAACTCTATACTCATTAGAGCCCCACTATACTGAGCCATTTTTGTAAGAATATGTGTTTTACTAGAAATGCAGCTGGACAAGAAAAGAACTGGCCAATAAAATTAATCTGGGTAGAGAAAGACATTATCAGACTTAATTTTGAGCTGACCTGCATATAAATAATTTTTAAGGTGAATGAAAGAGAATCTGCTAAGCTAAAATATAAAGGACTGGAATTGGTAATAATAAAGGAAAGAAATGACTGGATTATATATTTCAGGAAGATTTAGCATCTGTTTAAGCAGTTCTACAAAGGTAAACATCAATTTATTTTTTATTCTTTGTGATATCAATTTATGTAGCCCCCCCATCTCACAATAGTAACTTTGGGTAGTGCATGCAGAGTTAATACCAGACAAACATACATAAATACATAAAATGGTCAAAAACAAAAGTCCAATCATTAAAAAGACAAACTTACAGTGAAAGGCAAGACATACGCCTGAGGGAACACACAAGTTTTTAAGGATTTCTCAAACGCTAATTTATCTGAACTTTTACCATAATTATTATATGTCAATCTGGCATTGAGAGAAGCAGGAATGTCTTCTAGTTCCCTTACTTTTAAAAATGTAAATATTTCTTGGTTGTTTGCTACACAATATTTCTTTCTTCCATTGCATTTTGTTTTGCCATGTGCTAGTGAGTAAAGACATTTGTTGCTGATAAAAGTTGTATTGAAAAAAAATACAATTTAGGATTTTACTTAAAGAAAAGTTTATGTACTGCAAAGCATAACAAAATAACAGAGTTGGAGGTCTACTAGTCCAACCCCCTGAAGAAAAACATTATTCTCAATTATGTTAAACAATGCAACAACACTTTTTGGAAAGTGGCCTAAGTGGTCTGACTCAGGTTTTGGTTCAGAGCAATGCAAACCATTTAATACTGAGGCATTTGTTTTTATCAGGCATGTCAATTTAGATCATACTAAGTGGTTGCAGCAAAGATACTGGGGATAGGTTTTACATTTCTTCTACCCGAAGAGTTATTTTAAAAGGTAGTTTTAGATAATTTCCAGAATCTGGATGAGGATATTTAGAATTCTGCTATACGCAGCCTTTGAGATAAACTCTTCCTTCAGAAAATAATATTTGAGTATTTTTATTTATGTATTAAGCCACACATCTCCTCAAAGTGACTTTATGTGGCACATGAGTATAAAACCGCCACAACTGTTAACAAAAAACAAGCAATTTAATCAGAGCAACTCTAATAATTATCATTTAGAAACAGATCCTCAAGAAGCTGAGGAAGTTAAGTCAATGATGGGCTTTCTGATCATAGTTTGATTTATTGCTTACCTTATATAAATTTACAACCTATACTTATCCATCTTCTCAATTAACTTTTTTTTTTTTTTTTTGCCTTCTCTCCCCTTCTTGTCTTATGCTGTATTAGAGACTGGCCATTATTTGCGACTTCAGTATAAAAGCAATGAAATATTGTTTTGACAGGCCATTTTAGGGGGAGGAGGTACTGTTATTCTGGAAGTTCCATTAAACATGAGGCTATGCCGTTTACATCAATTTATGTCATTTATAGGATTAAGCAAGTACATAAATGATGCAAACTGATGCAATTGACAGAAACCATTGCAAATGTTGTAAAAGCAAGATAAAAATCACACAAATGTCACTGCCCCATCCAAACTACTTTGGATACAGAGGGAGATATCCAGATGAAAATCTGAACTTATTGCACTCAGAGTCTGCTTAGTGGAGGGGCTGTTAAATTCAGGTTTCCTTGTATAAATGATAATAACAGCAACAGAAAATGAGACCTCTCACTATGTGGTGAGTCTCGAAGGGAATCCACAGAATCTCTGTGCTGCATCATTGGCCTCCTCTGTTCCTCAATGGAGTATGATGCTTCCCGTCGAGCATGAGCTTCCATACAGGCAGGACTGTTGCACTTGCTGGTTCCCACAGAAGACAACATCATCCCAGACTGACAATCAGAAGTGAGGCTTTCTGTGCGGTCCAAGCTCCAGGTGTGGCTTTCATGTCTGCAAGTTAAGCCAAATGATAAAGAACTATTGGACAAGGATAGAAATAGATCTTTCCTAAACCTAACTACTTGCTAAACTGGACTCATCTTTCCAAGTAAAGTTCCTAAGCCATACTTGTAAGGTATGGGTGCATAAAATTATGAGTGCATAAAATTATAAAGGAATAAGGCAATCTGTGACCTGTTGCATCATTGTTTCAGAGATATTTCCTTAACAGATTTTTCAATGCCTTCAACAATGGCAGAGCTTTTAATGTATTACCTTCACTGGAAAAGTTCTTAAAAATTCACAGAGATATTCAGAGAGGTATCTTCCAAGAAAATAGCACATCACAATCAAACATCAGGAGTTGACCACAGAAAATGTTTTGTGACATTAGGTCATAAAATGCTTTATGATAATTCTTATATCATAAAATGTTTTATAAAATTTGCCAAATTTTATAGGTCCTGGATTTTGGATGCATTTTGTAAGTTGCTCCTTGGTTCAAAAATTCTTGCTCAATGATGCACCGTTTCACCCAGTTAAAAGTTACAAACATGAGACTTTTAGTAGTTTAGTAGTAGATTTGTATAACATTTTTAAGTTTACATTATAATTAATGTCTAAAATGATGAAAGTGTACATTATATGACAATCAAAGATAAGCTAAAATTTTCAGAGGTCATTATTCTCTTGAACCAGAAACCTAGTACTTGGAATTTGACAACTGGACAAGATAAAAATGGATTCTCCATGTCCTTACAACGGCTAAAAGACTGATACTGTAGCATTGGAAAGCTAAATCTATAGCCCCTTTCATTCAATGGATTGAAATGGCTTTAGCACTTGCCACCTATTTTAGCAAGCTGCTTGTAGATGTAGACTCTGTATGGACAAATATAATTTATTTATTTATTATAGTTATCCCACCTTTCTTACATTATACATAGTATAATGAAGTATAATAAAATATGGAACTTATTTATAAAAATACAATATATTAGAAACATGATAGTTATAAAAATGTACTAGAAATATATGCATGCTTGATGGTAATTACATTAGATAAGTATTGTAGAATTGTAACTATTTACCATTGAAATGATAGGTTTTACTTTTTTCTTTGTATTTTTCACTTTCTAAAAAGCACACTGTTTTTCTTTTCTTTGACAATTTATGTATTTTTTATCATAATTATCATGATAAAATTATGGTTTTTTGTCATTATTTCACTGTTTACAAATTTCACTTAGGTTCATCTATTTGAAAGCTTTGATTTAAAGGCTTTATTTAAATCAGTATCTAATGAATTTTCCATTTTTTCACAAACATTGTGTAGGACATTTGTATATCAAACAGCAATACACAAATACAGAATACTCATATAGTAAAGGCCAGTGGTACAGTCAGCTCATTTTAGAGCTTCCTATTTTTTTTTAATGAAGACCTACTGTGGACTTAATGATTTAATGGACATATAGATAAATGAAACTCACCAGTATCAAGACGAGATGAAGCTGATATAATTGAGGTTGAGTAGTAGAAAAGAAAGAGAAGACTCAATTTCTTAAGCTTATCATAACTAGGCTGCTAAATACTGGACAAAAGCTACTACATGGCAGGAAAGAGTTATACCTTTCTGTATTTCCTTCTATCAAGCGTTCTCTACATCTCTTTATTGCTAAAGTTAAACTACTGCAGTGCCCTAATGCTTGTATGTTTTAATGTTGTCTTCTCTTGATTTTATTTTTGCTTTTGTTTCTGCCTCATATATTCTGCAAATGGAAAGGTTGGCTATAGATAGAATTAAAATAAGTTAAAATGATGGCTGAATTGAGAGATTTGGGAGGTCCAAGTTATACAGTATGTGAAGTTCCTAAATACATTTACAGAAGAAGTTTTGTGCATCATTATTTAAATGGTTCTCTGATCATATCTATCCCAAAGCGGTTAAAAAAAAATCTGAGCTATTAAATATTCCACTCATACCTTTGGCTTGAAGTTGGAGTTCCTGTGGAAGAGGGATGTGATGGTGAACAGGAATGGCTCCCTGAAAAGGTGGTCTCTATTTCTCTTCTTATGACATGCTCAGTAGCAGGAACATTTTTAGATATATACTGGGGAAAAGACACAAGTTCATAGATATTAATCCTTTTTCACTTTTGGGACTTTGTTGCACAAAGACTAAAGACCTAAGGAAGACATTAAAGCAGCCATCCAAAGCCTTCACATTGTCAGATTGCTTCACAGCTTCAAGAAATGAAGTAGCACTTAAAAGATGAAATGATTTTACAGGTTATTTGGTATGTTGTGATCCCTCTTCAGATAATGTTAAGAGCCCAATCCAAGGGCAGCTTTCTCACTGAGAGGCTGCACATTTGTCAGTAGTTGAGGTTGATGCCTCTGGTACTATAAAGATTCACGAAATTCTCCTGCAAATGTATTTGTCTCCCCAATTCTGATCATAATTGTACTGAGTGGCAGAAGATGGCTTGAGTTATCTTTGGGAAAGGTAAGGAAAGAAAAAGAGGGTGGGGGAATGAAGAAGAGGAAGGGGAAGGGAATTGTAAACGGAGGATGGAAGGATGGGTCTAAACAGGGTTCTGCTTTTTATGCTTTTTCAGGAGGCTTTACACAGGGAATTAAGAAATGTTACTCACATCAGCCATCTGAATTTCCTCAGGGTCCAGCCGAGGATGGCTAGGGCCATTCGCTAGATTCCTGTTCTGATGTGCTGGACACATGTTTTGCCGCAAATGATTGTGCATCCGATTTCTCTGTTTTCTGAACAATAAGTACATTGTAAGGTATTCATATTGGAACAATGGACCAGTTTTACTCTGATGGACTATATAATCCTGTCAAGTTGGGGACCATAGACTGAATGGTTTGGCTGGAAAATAGTTTTGATGCTTTTCTACTTTTGGTCTTGATTTCCTAAATTGGAGTTTTAGTTTTGATATAGAGAAAGTTTTCATTCTGTAATTCACGTATCACTCCTAATTTTCTGTTTAATAGTAATTTTTAATATCTTTAAACAATAAATATATGACGAAAAAAGATACTGAAAGTATAAAGTTAAAAATAATAATTAAACCATAGAAAAATATATAAGGTTGGATCTTATTCTGAAATATATAATTATTTTCTAGCCATATTGATAAATTTAGTTGTATCAGAATTCCACTAATCTCTAAAGAAGTTAATGCCCAATGATCTTTTACTGTTAATAGTCCATAAACCTAGTGTCTCTATATTTTTGCAATATTGTTCAATATTGTTTTAGCAATTGTTAGAAAAAAAATTCAATTTACAATTTTCACAAATAGCACAGTAATCTTCTAACTCATAGCCTGATTTTTTAAAAAATATTACATAATACAAAATTCCAGACTAATTTTGTATATATATATATTCCTAAAATTACAAAGAAATTCTGTTTAGAGTCTTGACATTTCCAGTATTAAATTTATATTTTTTTATAATTTATATATAAATTAATATTGTATCAAATATACTTTTGAAACTGCATTTTAGCTTGCTTTTAATTTATTACCTGGTACAATGAAATGCTATTTTGTTTGTTTATAAATATATTCATATCTTGACTCTGTTTTTATTTATGACACCATGTTTTCTTTTATTTTCTATTGGAGTCATTTTATAACCATAGTTTACTAATATATCTAGTTAGAAGAGCTGAAATTTGCATTTCAAATTTAGTTATGTTTCACAGCTGTTTCTACTTAGACAAAAGTTATATCACAATGATGTTATAGTTCTGAAAATACTGAAACAGAAGATGTTTCCTATCAATCTGTATGCTTAGTTCTCTATATGAAATCATATTTTGTACAGAAAGAATGAAATGATGATCAGTCAGGTAACATAGGATTAAATTGCACATTTCATGTAAGAAATTAAGTCATTAGGAAATAGCCGACATGTAATTTTTTTTGAATCATACGGAAAATTTTAAAAGAACCTTTATGAAACAACAGAATTTCTTTAAGTACATAAATTAATGGATGGAGCAAAGTAAATCTAGATTTTTTTCAGCCCTGAAAATAAGATTATTTTACTACATTTAACATCTTTATATTAAGGGCATGACATTGAACTTTAATTAGTTTTACAAATGTCAAAGAATTCATAACTTGGGTTGAGTTATTTTGTCAAATGAATCTTGCAATTATCTGCTACCAGTTATTGATAACAGGGGAACTCATTGTTAAAAAATTAAAATAATTTGGAAGCAAATTGTTATCATTGCAACCATTCCTAAGATCTTTGATAAGATGACAGAGTATAATATCCTTTTCTGTAAAACTGATTAATCCATTTGTTAACTTGCACAGCAATTTTAAAACTGGATGATAAATACTTCATTCTCTTATGCTTCCACTGAATATTAATACCAATATCCACTGAATATTAATAGCAAGAAACTATTATTTAATTTCCTTAGAAGGTAATGTTAATAGCCAATTCTTCTGAGCATTTAAAATGTGTCCTAAACTACCTTTCTCCTCTTCTCTGCCAGTCTTTCTTACATATTTGTGAAATTTGGAATATCAGCACTGAAAATGGAGTGCATTTTTTTCCAAGAATGTTTGACCCTCTAAAGGCTGTTTATCAGAGGGAACATTTGCTTTGTGGAGCAGTCTCCCTCCAGAGACTGGATTTACTTCTTTGTTCTTAAACTTTTGGAAGTTGTTAAAAATTGAGCTCTTCTAGAGGACTTTTGGAGGGCAATGATCTTAACTGTCGAAAACAGTGATTATGGGATTAATATTCAAATTGCTGTTTTCCTTAATTTGGTTTAGCCTAATTTTCATGTTTTACAGATTTTAATTTAGATAATTTAGATAATCACTGTATTTTGCAATTGTTAACTATGATCACATATTTAATTGATGGGGGATTATGTAAGAATACAAAGCTGCTCTTTCTGATACAGGCTCTGTGGCGGTCATATCATTACTTCTAAGGTGAAAAAGAAAGTATTGTATAGATCCAAAGATCTTTCCCTTTTTAGTCTCTGGTTTTTTTAAAAATTTGATTTATATGCCACCCTTCTCCAAAGACTCAGGGCAGCTTACAATACGTTAAGCAATAGTCTTCATACTTTTGTATATTTATACAAAGTCAGTTTATTGCCCCCACAATCTGGGTCCTCATTTTACCTACCTTAGAAAGGATGGAAGGCTGAGTCAACCTTGAGCCTGGTGAGATTTGAACTTGCAGTAATTGCAGGCAGCTGAAGTTAATAACAGTTATTAACAGTGCTTTAGTCTGCTGCGCCACCAGGGCTCCTTAATGCGGTTTACTTCCCGCATCTTGTGTAGTTTATTTATTTACTGTATTTGTACCCCACCTTTATTATTTTTTGCAAATAACTCAAGGTGGTGGAAATATCCAATAGACCTTCTTTGTCTTATTTTCCCTGTGAGCTGGGTTGAGTTGAGAGATAGTGGCTGGCCCAAAGTCACCCAGCTGCCTTTCATAGCTAAGGCAGGACTTGAACTCATGGTCTCCTGCTTTCTAGCCTGTTGCCTTAACCACTAGACTCTTGTTAAAATGGTGCATAATTTCCTTTTATTCCTTTTCTGATTTTTCCAAATACAACTGGCAATTTAATTTCAATAGGAGTCTGTGATGTGTTTTCCTGGGAATTTGTTCCTATAGCATAAGTTTATATTATATTTTCATTTATTGTAGGAGAAGAACAGGCAGAGCTAGGGAGTGGAGTTAAACACATCATCGTTTTAGAGTGTTGCCACTAAAGATCCAAGTCCAGCCCCCCTTGAATTCTATTGACCATTATCTAGCACCAATTTAGTGCTGACCATTAGTTGACTAGATTTTTGTGTATATGTTTAAATAAATCTTCTATGCTGCAACTTTACAAAGGATCCTGATTCTTTGTGCCTGATATTTATGCAGACATTTTGATGTGTGTTTCCTTAACATACAGTTTTGTACACGTTTGGATTTGTGACCAGCTTTGCAAATTTTGAAGAAGTATATATAATTGTTTTTCAAAGGATTTAACAAATTAGGAAGTTCAAAGAACATATATTTGACTTAAAATGTGAATTATATCTTTCTCAGATCTTGGTATTTTTAGGTTAATCAACATTATCATTATGTTATGGAACAGCCTCCCCAAGATATACGGATGGTCCCAACCTGGCCTTGTTGGCCTTCAGGAAAGGGGTTAAAGAGCCGGTTTTATCTCCAGGCACAGGGACCAGGAGATTGATGGAGTGATTGATGGATGAATGTGAGTTTTATTAGGGCTGTCATTCTGTTTAGTGTTATAACTTTTAGTATATTGTGTTTTTATTTTGTTCACTTCCCAGAGTTCCTTTTTGTAGATGGTCAACTGCATAAATTTATTTAATAAAATAAATAAATGTTCCTTCTGAAAGCCTAAAAAATTAGGCTATGAACTTAGAATTCTCACTAGAATAACATTTGTTTCAAACACTGTTTGGCAAGTCATGAAGAAATGATAATAAAGATAATCTATACATAGTATTATACTACTCTTAAACTGTATTATTTCATTGGAACTTTTATAAATTGTATTGGAATGTTTATAAATAAATTGTTACATTTCTTGTGATTTTACTTAATAATCCAATCATATTTACCAAATAATTTTACCACTTATTTGTTGCTTGTATTTCCAAAATATGTCAGTTCTACATGAAATATGAATATGAAATGTGAGTTTATTTTTGCTAGGTGACCAATTTTCTGTTGCAAGGTATTAAAAAACTAAAATTTAAATTTCTTTGATTCTTAAAGCACTCAGCAATTAAGGTAACTTTTAATCCATTTTAATCATTTAATCATAAACCGCCCCTTTTTCAGATTGTTTATAAAGTATGCCCATGTATTTCCAAATTGTTTTAATTCCTTTCTCTTTTTCTTTTTTAGGTCTTTCCCTTCTATTTCTTTTCTTTTATTGTGTTCATTGCATTAAATTAATTTTAAAATTAATAAATAAAATCACTCACTTGGTTTTACAGTAAGCTACTACACATACTATTCCAACAACAAGCAATGCAACACAAATCCCAGTAATGGTTAAAACTCTCTTCTGATACAGCTCCTCGGCTTCTGCAAAGGACATAAAAATATTTAACAATTAATTTTGTTCTCAAATTATAATTGCATTCTGAAGATACACCTACAACTTTCCATGGTGGAAATTGGAAGTTATCTACTTATTTTCCTGAGATAGAATGTAGAGTTTTATATCTGTTTTAATATTGATGCTCTTCTTGACTTCTATTCAAACCTTTCCATTCTAGTCCCTGTAAAATCAAAACAAGAAAAATCTACTCCGGATTCTTTTTTTCTGAGCCCTCTCCTGTGTGTTTTTCAGTAACCTCATACTGTATTGGGAATATTTTATATAACTTCTTAGAAGTATTCAATTACTGTTTCCTATGTATTTGGCTGAGATATTACAGAAAAATTACTGTATATTGAACCACAATGAATATATTTGTTGAGATCCGATTTTGGTTGATAGAGCAACCAAAAGACATTTTTCCTCTATTCTGCCCTGTCTGAGCTCAATTTAATGTCCCCTACTTTTAATGCCACTTTCTGGCAGTGCTGAGAAGTTTCAGAAACTGAAACACAAAATCCATGCTCAGAATACAATGGAAGAGACTATACATCATTGCCTCTTTTAATATTTTTCTTTGCTGTTTAATCGAAGGAGAAAGGAAGGGGGGGCATATGAGAATTCATGTGGCAGCCAATGTAATCCCAACATAGTCGAAGTGCATGCAGAATATAAGCTATTAAAATATGCATCTCTATTTTTGCCCTGAAGACAAGGGAGGAAAATATATTAGTGACTCTCCTAGCGGATGAGGTGAAGAAGGAAACAAGTTAAGCTAATTAAAGACATTGATGAGAAAGAATCCTTTATATCTTCTAGTTGTTTATAAAGCTCCTGCCAATTTTCTGTATTACCAAATTCATTGTGATGGAATGTCTAGCAAACCCTGGGATTAAAGAGGCAGGAATATTAGAGAAAACATTTCTTGGTCCAGGAGAGGGGAGAATGAGAAAGAGCCTCAAAGTAACTCCATCTTAGTTATGTTAGGTATAGTTACTGGTTAATTCCTTTGGCAGGCTTTCAAGATTTTGTTACATTAGATTAGTCTATTAGCAATGAAGATCATGTCAGAGGCCAAGGTTCTTGTTTCCCGAATTTGTCTGCTTCAAAGGCCTTGATACTCAGTGACAACTAATTCCTTTACTGTTCCTAGATAATGGATAGCACTTTTTAGAAACTGGCTATTCAGACTATGTATGGTTTGAAAATGATTTGGAATAAGTACTTCAGATAATATACAACTACAAGAATTAGCTAACTGCTCTACAAGGCCAGAAAAACAAATTAGTTTAAAAATAAATAAAGAAGCAAATAAATAAAGTCAAAGTTCTAAATGAGAGCGACTGTTGAAATATACTTAGCTTGTGTTGAAACTTCTACCTTATTCCTGCTCTGAGACTATGGGACCAGGTTACCTGTGACAATTTGAACCAGATTTGTGCAATAATGTTCCCACTGGATAGCCCCAGATGTCCCAAACACTACAGGTATAAATAGAAAGAACTGTTATGCTAGTTTCCTGGGTACAGATTTCTGATTTCATAGGCTAGCTTGGTGCTAAGAAAAGATGCTTTTATTTTCCTAGACTTTTTATTTGTTTACCTGTTTTAATCAGTACAGTTCCACAATTCAATATAAATAAGTGGGACCTGATTCAAAATGTACAGTGTGAAGTGCTCCTCAACATTTACCCATTTAGAAAGGATTAGGTGGTGATGTTATAGCTATATAAAGATCCACACTATGTGTTTGTATGAATATATATTATGACACAATACATAATCTCTCAGACAAGGTGCTCTTGAAAATCTAAAATCTGACAAAGAGCTAGCTTTGGTTGTTTTGATGAATGGTCTCCCTGATGAATACATATTGGTATCTTTTAGTAGCAACATTCTGATTACCATCAGTATCAACTTATTAAAATAATTTGGTGGGCTAAGGATGAAAGCTACAATAATATGGTAATTCGAATCATATCTCAAGAACTGTATTTTGACATTTATGCTTAACTTCCCAGCATTTAAACTGTAGTGACTTGCAAATGTTTACTGTACTCCACATGTTCTTTATTGAAGATCTTTGACTAATTAACTAATTAGTTGATGTCAGCTAGCAATATGTTTCCTTGGCATTAAATTCAAATTACACTGAATTACTGCCTGCATACAATAATTAGTTGGATGAGGCCAAGAAACTGAGAAGCCCAAGAAGCTAATTTTCCATTAATCGCCACTGAAACAGCAGCAAAGTTCCCTTAGATATATTTTAGGAGGCAGCAAAAACGAGAACTGTGATCTCCTGCTAAGCTATAGGGATGGTCTACAAGTGATCTGAGAATGTCAGCTATGTGGACAATACAGTACATTTCAAATTTTGGCTATATTCTATGAATTAGAGGCTCTCTGACTGTATTATGCATCAAACATAATTCTTAAAAGAGAAGGCACATCATTTTAAAATTTGTTATAACTTGCAGTTGCTTGTGTGTAACTGTCAAATTCTTTTGTATATGTATTTTTTACTGTAAATAAGTGAAATTAAATTAAATATATTTCATTTAGAATGTACCACCTTTGTATCCCCCTTTGTATCTCCTTTCTCTCTCTTTCTCTCTCTCCCTACACACACAAACACACACAAACACACACAAACACACACAAACACATACATGCGCACACACAGCCAAAATATAGAGGGTACCTGAATTAAACATAATTCTGTAAACATACCAATAGATTATCACTATATTTACCCAGGGCTGAAATCTACTTACCTTCCCTACCGGTTCAGAAGTGCGCGCATCACGTGTGATTTTGGACCCTCTGTGCATGTGCAGAGGGTCAAAAAAGGGTTACTTCCTGGTTAAAACCAGTAAGTAATGATGTCCAGGCGGGTGGGCGGAGCTTCGCGCTGCCACCGCTACTGGTTCATCAAACCACATGCCGCCACCGCTACCAGTTTGCCCGAACTGGTGTGAACCAATAGCATTTCACTCCTGCATTTACCTTTCTCACCTTCTCTTAAGAGCATACAGAACTCTGTCTTAAAGCATAATTAAATATTATGTGCAAACCCATATAACAGAGTTCTTATGGCTACAGAAGAGAAAAATGTGTAGTATGAAGCAGGAAAAGGAGGTTCATCCATCCATTCATCAACCCCCTCCCCTTTGCTTCTGCATCAAAAATGGGGTTCCTTCTAAGGAATCTTCATGGGCTTGCACCAAGGGGTAGGCAATACAGTAAATTGGCCAAGCTCAACAATGTGATAATCTCCAAGCAAGCCTTATCACCTCCTCCCATTGAAGAGCAGAAGGTGGAAGTAAGGTGTCTGGGAGAACTGAATATCCAAATGCTCTTATGTAAGCAGTCCATTTTTAAACATCAACAGAATATGTTTGAAAGCAGGGTGAACTCCATTTTTCTTTGAAGGCTCTTGCCCATAAAAGCAATATGAACTAGTAGCAAGATTAGCATGTAATCATGGGATTCCTGCTGATGGTTGTTATGAATTATTATGTCACAATATGAATCCAAGCTCCATTATTTGGACATATCTATACAAATAAAACAGTATTAGCCTTAAGAATCTAAAAGGAAACCCTAATTTATATTGAGAAAATTAATATTCAATGGAAAGTTAGAATCAAGTAAAGAAAAAAAAATGTCTTAACTTTAGTGCCTTTTTCTAAATTCTATTTTGACATGCTGAAATATTCCAGTATACATAAATTAAATGCAAGTACTGGAAATGAGAACTGGAAAAAGAAAATAAGACTTCTCTTCTACCCCAGCTCTACTCTGCTCTAGTATTAGCTGCCTGCTGTCAATACTGCCCCCAAATTTTATGCAGCAAGTGCCAGATATGCAACAAATTGCTACATGATGTCTACCGTTTAAATAAAAGTCATATTACATCTGTAATTTGACTCTTACATATTCTCCTAAATTATATGCTTCTTTAGATGCTACTGTGTAAATTGATTCTATAATGTCAGTTGTTTTTATTTTATTCAGTCAATTCATGGGAACTGCTTTGGGTATATATGTATAGGAATGCATTGCAAATAAGTGATTGGTATATAAAAATATTAATTTATTCTAACTATTCCTAAATACATCTGGAAAATGTGATTACTCTTTTTTCATAATTAATTAAAGCAGACTTATTTAATCTTGTGCCACCCTGCCATCCCCAATTCTCCTAGATAGAAGAAATCTGTGTTAGAGAATAACATTCAAAATATACTACATTTTTATATATTGGAAATGCTTTACAAAAGTCCTGAGTCTTTGAAGCAAAATGAATTTAAGTGCAGATGAGCAATCAGAGGACTGTTTCCCACTTTTAAATCCTGCAAGTGCCATGTGTTGTTCTGGGTTACTTGTCAGTAAGGCTGTGTGGTAGCAAGGGCAAGACATTGTTCTTGTTCTATGATGCTCCACTGTCATAGCTGATGATGATTGCTATAGTTCATATTATGATGTTGGGACCTCTTAGTAATTTTTAAGCAACTGGAAGATATTTCATAACTTCTGTCCTTTTCTCTGCTCACTGTGTTCTATTTAATGACACACCATCAGGAAGACTACTGCTGATTAGTGCTTTAAGGTGAGGGAAAAAAAGGAAGATATTTCTTGGAGGTCTTAAAAACTTGTTTTGTTTTGTTTATTTTATGGACCGTTAGCCATATTTTGTTCTGGCAATTTTACTATCTGTCTGTATTTCAACCTTCATGTACCTCAAATTCATTCCTTTGGAGATTAATGGAAACATCTCACAGCTATTCTTTCAGTTGCCATGGCTAGGGAAGAGAGGGAATTATTGCCATGACCAGAAATTGGGGAGGGGGGGGAGACAATCTTGTCAAATTGCTAATATCAGATTGCTGTAGATTAATATATTCCCAAGGGAGAGGCAAAAGGTATTGATGAATGGTCCCTCTGGAATGAAAAAATAGATCCAGATCCTGGCAGCCCAAGTGAGCATAGGGCTGGTGTGGGAAAGGTGAAAATGAGAAAGAGGAAGAAAATGAGATGGAAGTAAAGATGGGAAATAATTTGGAGGCTGGTGAAAGTGGCATTTTCAAATATTAGCCTTCGGATGACTGATGATGTCTGTGGGAAGGATAGGGTAGGTCCTAGGACATGATAATCTTGTCTAGAGGACTTGCTATTAAGTTTATAGAGGAGGAAGAGAGAAAGAACATTTTAGTGCCCCCCTAGTCTTGGGAGATATTTTGGGAGGGGGTATTTGTCACGCAGAAGGGAGGCCAACAACTGCCTTATAACTGCCCTTCCAAAGTTTGGGTTCCTTAGCAGCAATAACCGGGAAGGATTTTGTGCCTATGACCAGGGGGTCTTTCCTGCAAGAATGGCAGGTGTAGCAATAACAATAGCACTTAACTTATATATTGCTTCACAGTGCTTTATAGCCCTCTTTAAGTGGTTTACAGAGTCAGCATATTGCCCCCAACAATCTGGGTCCTCATTTTACCGACTTTGGAAGGATGGAAGGTTGAGTCAGTCTTGAGCCTGGTGATATTTGAACTGCCAAATTGAGGCAGCCAGCAGTCGTAGCCTGCGGTATTGCATTCTAACCACTGCGCCACCATGGCTCTTAACTGTAATATGTGTTAACTTGGGCAATATGGAAAAAGTGAGGGTTGTACTTACCCGTTAGCCATTCTGCTGCCCAGAAAGATTCTTTCTAGTGGGTCTGGAGCTTGTTGCCAGACTGGTTTTAGACTTTCCTTCACTACTGGTGCAGAGAAATTCAATTTCTATATGCTGGGAGGAAGTAGTCTGGAAGAGCTGAAGTGATAACCATGGCTTGCCCGAAATAATATCTTGCCCAACCACACATATGAACTTATTGTACTTCTGATCAACTGTATGATTTGGATATGAAAGACATCAAACTGAGATCTTTACTGTGATCAGATCAGCTCCTGATCCAGATGAGATTTCTCTCTATTGTTTCATGGATTTATTAAAATGGTCCATTCCAGATGTGTAATAGATCCAGATGGATACTAGAGGGAAATTGTAGAATTCTCTAATGACTTAAGAGGTTGTTCCATTATCTTGTGGTATCTAAGACCTGGGAAGCAGCCAAAGACTTGATGTGATTTCCCTCAGTAGTCTGGTCTCAGGGGCTCCTTGATTTACTCAGGATCTCTGGTAAATGGAGAAGCAATAACTAGAGTACCAGTGGAGAAAGGTAAAAAGAAAATATGACCCAGCAAAGATGCACTATCTTGTTTGAACCTACATGATGATAAAAGCAGTAAAGCATTTGGTCTTTTCTGCTCTTATTACATCAGTAAGTTGACATCCAGTGGCCTTGTTTAAAATTACCTGTTTCCTGTTAAGGAAGATGGGAGGGAGATATACCACTTAGCCACTGTGCTATCATCACAGTGTAAGTTTTTGTTGACAAAGTTACTGATGCTTGTAGACTCCCAAGAGTCCCTCTGTGATGGAAACAGGAGGTTTCTAAATTTGACCAATAAATAAATGTTGGCCATACTTTTGATATTCTGCGAACAAAATGTTTAATGGAGCAAAAGATTTACAATATTATCAGAGGCTCTTTTCATCTTGTGTAATCTGGTGAAGATGAATGCTACCACTGCTGGACCTGACCCATGACTTTCATGGCCGATTTGGGCTGTGAACTATGAATGACAAGCTGGGGTGGGACATGGTCAATGTTTCTTTGAGGGAAGAGATGTTGAAGGAGGCAGAGGTATGTTCCATTCTCAAGAAATTCTCCCTGGACTCAACAGTTTTAGGTTATTAAAAAGGTAGTGATATAGCTGCCTCAGCTACAGAGTGTTCTTGAAGAATTACCTGGATTACCTGGACCACTTTCAGTTTGGATTCAAGTCTAGGCATGGTACAGACATGGCACCTGTTGCTTTGGTTGATGATGTTAATTTGAAAGTGTACCCTCCCCAGTCCTTTTCAACTTCTCAGTTCCATTTGATACCATCATCCATATTATACTTTTGGACCATCCCTGAATGTTGTGAGTTGGGGAATGTGTTTCAAAGTGATACCACTCTTATAAGACTCTGTTCATTCACATTACAGGCCCCATTCATTAAGTAGGGGCACACCAAGTCACCCACACCGGTCATCTTCCTTCATCTCTCTAGCAACTACCATCTCCTTTTCTTTGGGTTCTGATAAGGTGGATGAGATGGGGCCTCTGTGAGGTTGGGTCTTCTGTCCCTGACTGGATAACCAAGCTTATCAAATATGTAGCGGGCCGGGTCGCTGAGAGGCCGAGGAGTGAGGTCGGCGCGGGCCCTCTCCAGGAGTGTCGGAGAGGGTTGCCTGGGAAGTCTGCGGGGGTCTCGGGCCGGCTGGACGAAGGGGGCGAGAGCTGGAGTGGCGGAGCCGAAGGGAGTTGGAGGTGGCTCGCTGGCTCGGGTCTTACTCCACTGGTCCGATGGCGATGACGAGACCTGCTGTACCCAGGGGATAACAAAGGGACCGCCTCTGCTCTCTGCTGGTTGCTGCTGGGACTACAAGCTGGAGCGACATCGGCTGTGTTTATTGTTTGTTTTTTTTGCTGGGCACGCCCCGGGCATGAGGGGTCTTTGGGGTATTAACCCTATATGACTTCTCTACCCCCCCCCCAAGAGGGCTGTTGAATCCTGGGCCCCTTAGTTCCATCTGGGGACCCCGCCCAGGACTAGCGATCAGTGAGCTGGGACTTGGACTTGGACAGCTGGGAAGGCACTGGTTTTTCCCCCCCATGGAACTGGCTTGTCTTGGGTGGGGATTCCCACTGCTGTGAGAGGGCAGTTGTGGTTTTATGACATCGAACCGGCCATGCGGGGTGGGAGCTCTGAAATGGCCGAGAATACCACCGGACAGAACTCCCAGTGGACTCTGGGATGCCGTCGTGGTGAGAGGACGATGGTGGTTACCAGCTAGGCCTCTCAGCTGTTGTGAGAGGATGCCTGGGCGAGGAAGTTCCCGATGTTTGGGAGAAGCTTAGCCAGTTCCTAGCCCACTATTAATATCTTCTGTTTGCCATTCTTCGCACCCTCTTCTATGGTTGTCTATGGTTCCATGATTATATTCAAGATCGGACTTATGGGCTTTAAGGAATACCCCCCATTCCTGGAAGTGGCCCACTGGCCTGGCTAAGAAATACCTCAAAGACGGGTCCTGGGATCCCGAGAGGTGGCATGGAGGTGTTGGGGATTTTAAGAGCTCTTTGTATGCATTTTTAATTCATTTTTTAAGGGGTGGGAGGGAGAATGTAACAACCGGGGTGGGTCTGGGGGGTAACCCACAGGTGTCGGGGGGGCGGGGCAGATACAGCAGATATAATTCCTATATTGGGGAGGGCGTTTCCATCGGCATTGTGGGTGGGAGGGGCAGATACAGCGGGAGCAGGGGGCCATATCGTGTTAGGGGAGGGCGCACTCGCTGTCTGTGGGCGATTGCGTGCTCTGGTCCTCAATGCTCGTCTTGCACCCCAGGTTGTTCAGATCCTCAGGCCCGGGGCCTTCGGTTAATGTTGTGCAATGCCAGGTCAGTGGTAAATAAAGCCCTCCTCATTTGTGATCTGGTTCAGGAGGGGGGTGCGGACCTGGTAGGTATTACGGAGACCTGGTTGGGCCAGGAGAGGGGGTCCCCCTCGTTGAGATGTGCCCTCCGGGCTTCTATGCATTTCATCAGCTGAGGTCCCAGGGGAGGGGTGGGGGGTGGCGGTTCTGGTAAAGGAAGGTCTCGCCCCAAGGGAGGCCACTGTACCTTAGATAGCCAGATGTGAGTCCCTCCTTGTGAAGTGGGGACAAGGGAGGCAGATGGGCTTGCTGATTACGTACCTGGCTCCCTGCCACATGTCAGAGGCCCTGCCCGAGCTCCTCAACATGATTGCTGAGGTGGCGATGGAGACCCCCAGGCTTATGGTCATGGGGGACTTTAACCTGCCGTCTGTCGGCGAAGCGTCTGAGGGGGCTCGGGAGTACATGGCTTCCATGACGGCCATGGACCTGACCCAATTAATTCACGGACCCACTCACATGGGAGGACACACTCTGGACTTGATTTTTGTCTCTGGACAGTGGATGAATGATCTTGAGATAGGGGAGTTAGTGACTGAGCCCTTGTCATGGTCGGATCATTCCCTTCTTAGGCTTGACTTTCTAACCGCCACACCCCGCCGCAGGGAGGTGGAACAGACCAGATGGTTCCGCCCCAAGCGCCTGATGGATCCTGATAGGTTCCAGATGGAGCTTGGGCCATTTCCTGAGGCTCTGACTCATGGCTCGGCTGAGGAGCTGGTGGCCGCCTGGGATAGGGCGGCCACTGATGCTTTGGACCGAGTCGTGCCTGTGCGGCCTCTGACCTGTCGCCGAGTCTATCTGGCTCCTTGGTTCTCCGAGGAGCTGAGGGAGATGAAGCGCCGGAAAAGACGCCTAGAGAGCAGTTAGAGATCTAGTCGCTCCGAACCTGACCGAACACTGGTAAGATCTCATATTAAGACTTACCTAGTGGCGATAAAAGCGGCAAAATGTAACTATTTTTCCACTCTTATCGCATCAGCAGATAATCGCCCGGCCACCCTGTTTAGGGTGACCCACT